TTTATGTGCAAAATAATTACATGGTTCATTTAGAAAATTATTCAGTGTTGTATGTACAAATATAAATAGGCTTATTTATTACTAATAAATTATTAGAGAGCAACGATATAAATAGTGTATATCATTAATAATGATAATAATCATTAATATATCATTAATAATGATTCATTATACATGCAATACCATAGAATATTCTTACTATGTAACTTTATATCTGATACATCATTACATAATACTTAATGAAATTAATTATTTCAGGAACTTAATACCTTGCAGAATTTATTTATAAATTTTATATATATTATAGTGTAACTGGATGTTTATTAATATGTCTATTTGCTTATGAGTGTTGTATTTGTAATGAAAATGCACAATTGACTCATACTGCAATATATATTAAAAACATGACTGGTTTCCCTAATCATTATACATGCAATACCATAGAATATTCTTACTATGTAACTTTATATCTGATACATCATTACATAATACTTAATGAAATTAATTATTTCAGGAACTTAATACCTTGCAGAATTTATTTATAAATTTTCATTATACATGCAATACCATAGAATATTCTTACTATGTAACTTTATATCTGATACATCATTACATAATACTTAATGAAATTAATTATTTCAGGAACTTAATACCTTGCAGAATTTATTTATAAATTACTACAATAGTACTTGATATGAACAACAGATCACCTTACTGTAATTTCTGTTTTATTTTTGCTTGCTAATTATGGATACTGTAATTTTACTTTAACAATAGATACACGTGGTAATTAATATTTAAATTGTTAATTCCATAAATTTAATCTAGGGAATAAATTCAATAAAAGCGAAATAAATTAACCACTATACTCTACATCATGCATATTAAATTGACCATGGCCATAAACTTAATAAATAGAAAGTAATTTACTGAACGCGCAAACGATATAACGGGATTTGACTGTACCTGATATTGCATATCAAGCAATGAGTTATCGACCGGACATTCGGTGCTATTTGTGATAACATGAATGCTATGCACTAATAGTATATAAAACAGTGTAAAAGACATGCATTAGATATAATATAAAAAAGTACCAAAACATGTCAAAAATACTTTCGTACACACCATTGGCTGCCAGTGACGTGAGTGTTAAGGCATGAATACCATAGGGTATGACATAGCTATAAGTTAATCAGCGCATACACTCGACACAACAGACCACCCGTTACCATAACAACCATATATACCAACCAACGTAATCGCTGGGAGTATTTCCAGCAATAATGCTCGATATCACTGGGAATCGCGTATCGAGTATAGACCGTATCGTCAAACCCAGCGGTCGGCCATTATTACAGAGGTAGTGGTGAATATCTGTATTGTGCGGCACATGTATTGCCTGTGCATTGCATGCGGTTTACCATACAATACACGCCACACACACTGTACCCACACAATCAATGGTGAGCCACGCTGTACTGCGCGTAACGCTAGGCGAACGGTGTGCAGTACAGTGCGGCCATCGATATCTGTCTCTACCCACACACACATACTGTACAGTACACACACGCCATAGACAACACACACACACTGTATTTTATTTTACAGACCATTTAATACACTTATACACAGCGTTACAGTACAGCGTGTATACAGCCGTACAGTGTGTTTGTATGTATATATGCTATGGTGTGTATCTATAAGTGATTTAATACTATTAACAACATATTTTAATTAGTGTTTGTGGCAGACCAACATCTAACCCCTATTTGATTTGACCAAGGTGGGCTATGTTAGCGCTCAACAGCCGCAAAAGTGGCCGCAATTAGCGATATCAATGACTGGCCAACGCTGGGAGAGGTGCACAAACACGAGGTAAGTTACAATATATACAGCATATATGCATATATGCATATATTAATGCCCCCCTTATGGACCATTTGTATGGCTAGTGTATAGTCAACCCCCCCCCCCCCCCTACATAAACATGATTACTAATTAATGATTAGTCATAAACACAAGCAATACCTCCCCCCCCCCTGTGGTTGGGGCATAAAAACCATGCTTTTTATTTGTATTAGCATAGTAGTACACTTGTTATCACCATTATCATAAATGCTGACCATGTTTAATTGGCAATACTGTTGTATTGCTTGTGTTTATGACTAATCATTAATTAGTAATCATGTTTATGTAGGGGGTGGGGGGCTGGAGGGGGTAGGTATCAGATAATATGGTAGTAAACACTGGGTATTGTAGTACATCCGGGAGGGGTGACGATTATCTAGCTATAAATTGTACAGTACTATGTGTATATATTATTTTACATGATAATCACATTGACCATGTTTTTCTGTATCTCATTAGGTGACACACCAGCAGCACCTGAACACCAGCCCCACCACCAATGGTGACCACCAGATGCCTCTCCCGGCGGGGCCCACCTCTGCCGCCGCCTCCCCCGCCATCGCTCAGCCGCCGCTACCGACTACTCCCGTTAAGAGCGCGTGGGCGACGATAGCGCCGCCGCCATCACTACCGCCACCCATATTGACCGCCAACCGGTCATCAGTGCCTTCATCTGCCACCAGTTCCTCATCACTATTGCCAGCGAAGACACCGACGACACCAACGGATGCGGCGATTGTCGATAGCGACAGCTTTGTGTCCGGCGACGAGTCCCTATCGGTTCGCACGACACCGCTGTCCACCCAATCCATGCCACTGTTAAGGCCCGCCGGCGGCCCGAAGGCTAACCACCGGACAGACCGCAACTCTTCCTCTCAAGAGGACGATGAATGTGTTGTCAATGAGAACAGTGTTGACGTTGGCGTCGATGGCAAGCGTACGCCACCTAAAGGGTCTGTCCATAGGGGCGGTGACTCCCGGAGCGCCGCCACCACTCCTAAGTCGGCCAAAAAGAAAGGTATAGTTTGTCCGTCAGTTTAGGTGTTAATTGTGAGCAGTTTTTATGGTGTGTTTAAATAGGTTTTGGTTTTTAATAGTGGTTAAAGATTTTCTCAGTTTTATTTATTTAAAAGACAATTTAGTTTTTTGGGTTAATTGTCACTGTTTTTTGCTTGTGGTGTGAGTTTAGGTTTGCGTTAATTGTTAGTGTTTTGGGTGTAATTTAGGGTCAAAATAGGTTTTTGGTTTAAAAACACTGGGTTTGAGTTTGTAATGTGTAATCATATGATGAAACCCTTGGAATTACCGTTTGATTCACTTCTGGTGATGATATCAAACGCCAATGGCTGCTGTTTTTTGCTGATTATTACACATTATCTATTGTTCGTGTGGATTAGTTCTTGGGATCAATTGCGGTGATATAGCTTTAGTTGTATTGTTTGAATTTGGGTTACATTTTTAGTTGTGTTTAGGTTTTTGCTTTAATTGTGTTGTAATAGTGTTGAGAAAGTTTTGTCTGGTATTTATTGGTTTTATACGAGTTTTTGTTTGTTTTATTTATAAATTATAATAACAATCAGTAAATGGTTTTTTGAAAGTCATTGCATAGACACAGAAGTAATGCAGACATAAAAATTTTAATGTAATTTATTTTTAATTGTTTTGTTATTTTTAATATAGTTTTAATATTTTATAATCTCGTTATGAAGTCGTCCTTCACTTCTTGAAAACTATTTGGAAATTGTTTTAATTTATTTTTTAACGTTTAACTAATTATGTTAACTCTCTCTCTCCCGCATACATATTGTGTAATACTGTGTATAAAGTTGTTGTGTTGCTAACAATCGATACCCAATTGACTTATGAAATTATACGCGTATTTCAATTTCTCTCTCTCTCTCTCTCTCTCTCTCTCTCTCTCGATACATAAAACCAGACACTGTTTGAGTGACTTTTGAAAAATTATTTCATAGTTTCCTTAAAGTTTTGTTTTTACTTATTTATAATTTTTTCGCTAATTTTTGTGTGATTTTTATTAACAAATAGTGAAACAAATGAATAACGAGTTACAGAGAGAGAGAGAGAGAGAGAGAGAGGTATCCATTATAACCCAAATGTATAGTCGAGTAAAACAAAACCAAAAACACCAAAAAACTGATATCTAATTGTATGATGAGATGAAAAACACATTGAAATACGCGTATAATTTCATAAGTCAATTGGGTATCGATTGTTAGCAACACAACAACTTTATACACAGTATTACACAATATGTGATATACAGTGTATGCGGGAGAGAGTGGTGGGGGAGATAAGGGAAAGGTATGGTTACGTCTGTCTATGTCTGGCGATAACACCGCCACAAATCCAACGCTTGTATATATTTTTTTTGTTTTTTGCTTCAATACCAGATACACGTGTATATACTGTATATTACGGTATACTTTATAGTGAATGATGTGCTGATAAACAGACATTGGTGCTTTTTCCCCACTATTATACAAGAAAAAACTACTCTTGGTTTTTAACGTAATTAAAACACACGCCAAACCACTTATCACTCGTTTATTGAGAGAGAGAGAGAGAGAGAAAGAGTAATGAGAGAGAAAACTTGTTTTAATTGATAACTATTTTTAATGTCATTCGATGTATTTAACGCCAACACCTCTCTCTCTCTCTATCTATCTATCTATCTCTCTCTCTCTCTCTCTCTCTCTCTTTGAGTGACGAAATTTAAATTTAAAAAAGCAATTAAAATCACAAAAAAATGAATGATAAAAATTGTGGTATTTATATAATGGCAATGAAAACGTTAGATTGAAATTCCTAATACCTGTAAAAAATTTTTTAATGACAACACATTAACAGTACATTCATTTCCCACACGTTTAGGACCGAAAAAGTGGGTACCATTAGAGCTACCGCTACCCCCACCGCCAGCCAAACCTCATCGCACGAAGAGTTTGGCCGAAGATCGCGAGAGAGGAGGCCGTGGAGGCAACGGTTCCGGCGGCGGTGCCCTACGGGAGCGACAACCGGAACGGGAGCCCCAATCGGCGCCACCGCACGGGCCGTCCGGCGATCGAAGGCCGCCCGTCCGCGACAGACACCGCGAAGACCGCTACCATAACTCGTCCGGCGGTGAGAACTACTACTCCGACGATCACTCGAAGGCTAGGGATAGCGGCGGCGGACGCGCTGTCACGGGCGGCGGTGGACACCATCGCAGTCACGATAATCACCACTCGGACAGAGCCGACGGCTATGATAAGCGGCGGCCGTCGGCTGGCAGTCGCCGAGGAGGAGGTCGTGGCGGTGGCCGCGGCTACGCATCCAACGGGCCGTTTCATCAGCGATCGCGCAGTCAAGCGGACGCCAAACCCGTGGACTATCCGACAGACATCGCTTACTACGTGGACTTTACGCCTGTGGACGTGTCTGGGCTGACGGTGGGCGGCGCGCCGGCCGTAACCCCCTCTGTAGTGGGCGCTGCGGTGTCGGCCGCCGGCACACCCGGCTTCGTGGCGCCCTTCTTCACGCCCTTCCCCTCAGCCGCCTATTTGGGTCTCGACTCGGATCGGCTCCGGGAGTACGTGAGGCAACAGATTGAGTACTACTTCAGCGACGAGAATCTGCAGCGAGACTTCTTCCTGCGCCGGAAGATGGACGCCAACGGCTTTTTGCCCATCAGTTTGATCTCGTCGTTCCATAGGGTACAGGCGCTGACCCAAGACCCCCAAATGGTGATCGACTCGTTGAAGGCGTCGACGATTGTCGAAGTGGTCGACGGCGTGAAGTTGAGGGCCAAAGTTGATCCCGAAAAGTGGCCACTTGTAAGCGATTTGTTGTGATTGGTTGTAATGCTGGGAACTAATTGGTGACGTGTTTTTTGCTGTTTTTTTTACAGTTGGATAATCTAAGCGCCGCCTCTGCCGGACTGCACGCCAACGTTCCCTCTTTCATACCGGGCCAGCCCTATGGCTACGGCTATGGCGAAGTGTCGCCCCCGCCGTCCACTCATCCATACGGCAGCGCTGGCGAAGAGGCGGCCGCCGACGCCGATAACGAGGCCGACAGCAATGGTAACTCAAGCAACGGTGATAATGGTTAGTGTCTGAAAGATGTCTCTATGAATTGTCACTGGAATTGATTCCTATTAATGTTTTTATTGCTAATTTTAAATTGTTTTTAGACAATACTTCAGCGAAAGCGCGTGTCAGCGGATCCAACACTAGTACAAGACAGTCAGCGGGAACTCAATTGGCGGCACCGGCTGTGACGGTGAACACCACCAGCACTACTACTACTCCAACAGCACTACACACTGATAGCATAGGCGGCACCAGTACTCAGCCAAACGATGCAGACGTTGTGATATCACATGACATATCCGCTGATGACGTTTTGGTAAACCAGATGTCTGTTCAACAGAAGCACAACAACAACAGCAGCGAGAGCTCCGACAACAACAACGCCATGAGCGCCAACATTAGCCATAACAAGAACTTAACCGCCGATTGGCGTGAAGTGAAGTCCAAAAAATTCAAGTCCCGATCGCGACAGTCGTCCACTTCGGTCGGTGGCGGCACTCCCGGCGACGGCAGCGGTAAACACGGCTCGCGATATATCGGCGACATATCCAGCGAAGAGTTGGCCTTCGCGTTCGACGAAGACATTAACGCCGGCGACATCTCTGGCCGCAGGAATCAGTTCACCACCGCTTCCGACGCCGACGGTCTGGACAATGATTACGACTCGGACTACGAGATCAGCGACACAGAAGTCGCCCGCATTTTGGTTGTGACCCAATCGATACCCAGCGGTTCCCGCGCCGGCAAACACGAGGGCTACGACCGCACCGGCGACTGGACTACGCGCGTGAAACTCACTCAAGAGTTGGCCAAAGAGATCAACGACGGCCTCTATTACTACGAACAGGACCTGATGTTTACCGACGCCGACGTTAAGCCGGAGCTTAAACCACATAAAACGGTGGAACTGATATCGCAGGAGGCGTTCGAGAGGTTTGCCCCGAATCGCGCCCAGAAGGTGAGGGGTGCGGCCGCTCAGCCCCCGCCGCCACCCCCTCCGCCCACTTACGAAGAGGAGTCGTTCCTCGAGAAGCACATGGCCTCAGGTTTGTACCACTTTTTGTTGTTTTTGTTGTAGTCTATGGGATCTGTTTTTAGTGATCTCTAACTCTTGAGGTGAATGAATAAGTGATGAAAACAATTGGAATTACCGTCTGAACCGATCCGGTCGTGATTTCAGACACCAATGGCTGCTGTTTTTGCTGATATTCTTAGTGTTATATCCCATCCCTGGCCTCCCTTTCCCCTCAAACCCTACTATCCTTTCATTACTGAACTCTTTATTAGTACTTAAATGATTGCAAACTAATCACGTGTTGTTAATTGTCTCATCCAAATAGCGTCGCCAAAAGCCACGTCAGCGCCGGTGACGGCACCGGAGCCGCGAACGCCTAAAACGCCTCGCAAACGATCGCCAGTATCTGATCCGCGTTTCTTCGCGGCGCCCGAACCGTCACACCAAACACCCGTACCGAAGGGTACGCCACGCAAACAGAAGACAAAGTACTCGTCCAATCCGATTGTCGAGCAACACGTGGGTTGGGTTATCGACTCGCGGCACCAGTCGGCCGATCAACTGTCGACAGACTCGGCTGGTGGTGGTCTTGGAGGTGGTGCTGGTGGTGCCGCCTCTGGCGACCAACTGTTGGTGGGTTCGGCGACCCAATTGTCCACTAGTCTCGGGTCGACGCCCCAATCACTGCCCGCCTTTGAACACCCGTCCCATTCGTTGCTCAAGCAAAACGGTTTCACGCAATTGGTGTACCATAAGTACCGGTCCCGGTGTCTCAAAGACCGTAAACGATTAGGTTAGTAGTTGTGTAGCAACTGATTCATACATATACCGTTTTCCCTACCCGTGCCCTCCCAGTCACTGGCCATTTGCTGGTGTCAGTGGGGGTAAGTGTACGGACACTAACGACACTATCAAACCATATGATGAAACCCTTGGAATTACCGTTTGAGTCACTTCTGGTGCTGATATCAAACACCAATGGCTGCTGTTTTTTGCTGATGTTTGTTGTCGTCAGCACTTGTGTCCGTACACTTAATGATAATTCATTTACCAATTTAGTTTTGTTAACCAGGTTATTTAGGACAGGCATTAGGGGGGTTGAGCTTTAGTCCTACTATGTTAGCGTAAAATGAATGAGTTGTTTATTTGTAGCCCCCTTCCCCCCATTGTAACCTAGCATGTATTTGATTGTTAATTTACTAATATGTATGTCATTTATCGGTGTGTTTACCCGCGCAGGTGTCGGTCAGAGCCAAGAGATGAATACACTGTTCAGGTTCTGGTCATTCTTCCTGAGAGAGCACTTCAATCGGCGGATGTACGACGAGTTCCGGCGGACGGCTGTGGACGACGCCGGCGCCGGCTATCGCTACGGTCTCGAGTGTCTCTTCCGGTTCTACTCATACGGTCTCGAGAAACACTTCCGGCAGGACTTGTACGACGACTTCCAGACGGAGACCATTCACGACAGTCAGTCAGGTGTGTGTCGACTTTGTTGTTGTTTTTGTTAAAGTTTTATGACTTACGCCACGGCTTTTGGCGGCCATTTTGTTATCCATTCGACTTTTACGGTCGCTTAAGATGTAATTTAAGCGATTGTTTACGTAATGAATGGTATATTATATCAAAAACTTGTTTATAATTCAATCTTAACCTAACGTAACGGTGTTAACGGTTGGCCGCAACTTGTTTACAGATATAATCACTTTAATTGTTCTGTTAATTACACATTAAATTTACTATTAATAATTTTATTGACTAATTATCTGTTTGTGTTTCTCTAACCACCGATTTATAGGCGAATTGTATGGTTTGGAAAAGTTCTGGGCGTTCAGGAAGTACTTCAAGAACTCCAAGAGTCTGGAGATCAACGACGTGTTGCGCAAGAAGTTAGACAAATACAAGACTGTCGATGATTTTCGGATAGATGTAAGTGTTGTCGGTGTTGTTATGTCTTTGGATCAGCTCTGAGTGTGTGGTGTAGTGAGGGTTTGGCATAATTTTTGTGATTAAGCTTAGGATCAGTTGTCTTCGAGCGATAAGTAACGTGTAATCATATGATGAAACCCTTGGAATTACCGTTTGAATCACTTTCAGTGGTGATGACACCAAACACCAATGGCTGCTGTTTTTTGCTGATTATTACACGTTATCTATTGTTCGTGTGGATTAGTTCTTGGGATCAATTGCGGTGATATTTGAAGTTAAGGGTTTTAATAAAGAGCCATAAAATTCTATACACAAACCCTATCACTGGGAAACACCACATGCGCTGATGTTATCATCAATTGATTATAACTATAATTAGATTTCAAACTTGATTTACATGAATGTATTAATGATGTGACTGTCTGTCTGTCCCCTACACTACAGGCGCCGACGTTTTCAAACGCGAGTCAAAAAAAGTCGAGTCATTAACGAATGGATTGACGATAAAAATTGTATAGAAATTTATGAGTGAATTGTGTGGAAAGGGATGCGAGAGTACAGTACAGGACAGCGAAGGGATGGGTGAACAGACCCTTCCCGGTGCTAAACACTACGACGAGCTAAACATATATGCATTTTATGCAACAAAAATAATTGATATTAATAATAGTAACAATTGGTTAATAATAGTTAGAAATAATAATTTTAATAATAATAAGTATCGCATTATTTTTAAAAGTCACCCAACTACTTTTTACCGGATATATACAAACAACACCTGATATAAAAAAAACTACACACCATACATCTCGTCATTAAATTATAATAATAATTAATAGTAATAATTAAATTTTAATTAGTTTTTTTATGTATTATAAACAGCACTTCGATCTACTATTATATGTGAATTTATTATGTGGTTTATTATATGATATTTTTAATTTACCGGGATATGCTTTCAAACGCCCACCCCTTCCCATACAGCCCTCCCCTCCCTCTGACTACTAGGTGTTTAGGGTTGGGGTAGGGGTTGTGTGGGCTCAGGCGGTGGGTGTTTAAAGTGCGGGTCCTTTTGATTTTGTATAGTTTTACGATTTGATTGTAATTTTCATTTTGATTTATTTGGTTTTGTTTTTTTAAACACGTGTTAATTGTCTTTAGATTTGAATGTTTTTTGTTTGTTTTTTAATGAATTGAATTTAATTTGTATTTAAATTCTTATTTGAAAATTCACAGCACTTTTAGGCGATCACTGCTTCTGTTTTTAATCCAATCGGTAATCCATTTATCAAATAATAACTTGTATTTTATTTTTGATGTAATTTTTTTTCGACGAATTATTTTTTTGAATTAATGTTTTTATCGATAAATTTCGTGGCTTTTGGCGACGCTATTTGGATGAGACAATTAACAACACGTGATTAGTTTGCAATCATTTAAGTACTAATAAAGAGTTCAGTAATGAAAGGATAGTAGGGTTTGAGGGGAAAGGGAGGCCAGAGAAGGGGATATTAAACTAAGAATATCAGCAAAAACAGCAGCCATTGGTGTCTGAAATCACCACCGGATCGGTTCAGACGGTAATTCCAATTGTTTTCATCACTTATTCATTCACCTCAAGAGTTAGAGATCACTAAAAACAGATCCCAAAGACAACAACAACAACAACAACAAAAAAATGGTACAAACCTGAGGCCATGTGCTTCTCGAGGAACGACTCCTCTTCGTAAGTGGGCGGAGGGGGTGGCGGCGGGGGCTGAGCGGCCGCACCCCTCACCTTCTGGGCGCGATTCGGGGCGAACCTCTCGAACGCCTCCTGCGATATCAGTTCCACTGTTTTGTGTGGTTTGAGCTCCGGCTTCACGTCGGCGTCGGTAAACATCAGGTCCTGTTCGTAGTAATAGAGGCCGTCGTTGATCTCTTTGGCCAACTCTTGAGTGAGTTTCACGCGCGTAGTCCAGTCGCCGGTGCGGTCGTAGCCCTCGTGTTTGCCCGCTCGGGAACCGCTGGGTATCGATTGGGTCACAACCAAAATGCGGGCGACTTCTGTGTCGCTGATCTCGTAGTCCGAGTCGTAATCATTGTCCAGACCGTCGGCGGCCGAAGCGGTGGTGAACTGATTCCTGCGGCCAGAGATGTCGCCGGCGTTGATGTCTTCGTCGAAAGCGAAGGCCAACTCTTCGCTGGATATGTCGCCGATATATCGCGAGCCGTGTTTACCGCTACCGTCGCCGGGAGTGCCGCCGCCCACCGAAGTGGACGACTGTCGCGATCGGGACTTGAATTTTTTCGACTTTACTTCGCGCCAATCGGCGGTTAAGTTCTTGTTATGGCTAATGTTGGCGCTCATGGCGTTGTTGTTGTCGGAGCTCTCGCTGCTGGTGTTGTTATTGTGCTTCTGTTGAACAGACATCTGGTTTACCACAACGTCATCAGCGGATATGTCATGTGATATCACAACGTCTGCATCGTTTGGCTGAGTACTGGTGCCGCCTATGCTATCAGTGTGTAGTGCTGTTGGAGTAGTAGTAGTGCTGGTGGTGTTCACCGTCACAGCCGGTGCCGCCAATTGAGTTCCCGCTGACTGTCTTGTACTAGTGTTGGATCCGCTGACACGCGCTTTTGTTGAAGTATTGTCTAAAAACAATTCAAATAAGCAATAAAAACATTAATAGGAATCAATTCGAGTGACAATTCATAGACAATCTCTAACACTAACCATTATCACCGTTGCTTGAGTTACCATTGCTGTCGGCCTCGTTATCGGCGTCGGCGGCCGCCTCTTCGCCACCGCTGCCGTACGGATGAGTGGACGGCGGGGGCGACACTTCGCCATAGCCGTAGCCATAGGGCTGGCCCGGTATGAAAGAGGGAACGTTGGCGTGCAGTCCGGCAGAGGCGGCGCTCAGATTATCCAACTATAAAAAAAACAACAATCAGTTCCCAATCAACACAACAAGATCAACAAATCGCTTACAAGTGGCCACTTTTCGGGATCAACTTTGGCCCTCAACTTCACGCCGTCGACCACTTCGACAATTGTCGACGCCTTCAACGAGTCGATCACCATTTGCGGGTCTTGGGTCAGCGCCTGTACCCTATGGAACGACGAGATCAAACTGATGGGCAAAAAGCCGTTGGCGTCCATCTTCCGGCGCAGGAAGAAGTCTCGCTGCAGGTTCTCGTCGCTGAAGTAGTACTCAATCTGTTGCCTCACGTACTCCCGCAGGCGATCCGAGTCGAGACCCAAATAGGCGGCTGAGGGGAAGGGCGTGAAGAAGGGCGCCACGAAGCCGGGTGTGCCGGCGGCCGACACCGCAGCGCCCACTACAGAGGGGGTTACGGCCGGCGCGCCGCCCACTGTCAGCCCAGACACGTCCACAGGCGTGAAGTCCACGTAGTAAGCGATGTCTGTCGGATAGTCCACGGGTTTGGCGTCCGCTTGACTGCGCGATCGCTGATGAAACGGCCCGTTCGATGAGTAGCCGCGGCCACCGCCACGACCTCCTCCTCTGCGACTGCCAGCCGACGGCCGCCGCTTATCATAGCCGTCGGCTCTGTCCGAGTGGTGATTATCGTGACTGCGATGGTGTCCACCGCCGCCGGTGACAGCGCGTCCGCCACCGCTATCCCTAGCCTTCGAGTGATCGTCGGAGTAGTAGTTCTCACCGCCGGACGAGTTATGGTAGCGGTCTTCGCGGTGTTTGTCGCGCGCGGGCGGCCGTCGATCGCCGGACGGCCCGTGCGGTGGCGCCGACTGGGGCTCCCGTTCCGGTTGTCGCTCGCGTAGAGCACCGCCGCCTCCGCCGGAACCGTTGCCTCCACGGCCTCCTCTCTCGCGATCTTCGGCCAAACTCTTCGTGCGATGAGGTTTGGCGGGCGGTGGGGGTAGCGGTAGCTCTAATGGTACCCACTTTTTCGGTCCTAAACGTGTGCGAAATAAATGTACTGTTAATGTGTTGTCATTTAAAAATTTTACAGGTATTAGGAATTTCAATCTAACGTTTTCATTGCCATTATATAAATACCACAATTTTTTATCATTAATTTTTTTTGTGATTTTAATTGCTTTTTTAAATTTAAATTTCGTCACTCAGAGAGAGAGAGAGAGAGAGAGGTATCCATTATAACCCAAATGTATAGTCGAGTAAAACA